TACATTACATGTTTAGTGGATACACATATTAATATATAAATTATTTCCTGAATGAGCACGGTGATTACACTCACGTCATACGTATTCAGTAGAGAGTGTAATGACTTAAAAGATAAAATAGCACAGCGTCGCAGAACGTTGCACACACGAACTAATTGTAAAAAAGGCTCAACTTCCACACACGAGCACAAAATGTTTGACGTCACGATCATTGTATGTTATTTATGAACATTCTTATTATGAAAAGCCACGAGGAAGATGATGACCGTGATGGACCTGAGTTCCCAAACCATAATAAAGAGTTCTATAACACTCAACTTTGAACAACTTTTAATTTATGTTTATGATATGTAAAGATGTAAAGTTTTCCAGAACGTCTTTTAATATACTTCCATCGCACCATTTTATTGTGTTTGGACGTGTGTTCTTACATCTAATCATGTCGAATGTTGCATTGTCTCAACAAAAAAACGGCATCGAACGTGACTACCCGTACTACTAACACAAACTGTCCAGGTCTGATCATCGAACTATCAGACACAGTCAGGTTCCGGTTTCAGAGTAATCAGCGGCTTAACGATCCGTATTTATCTCAAGGAGTTTCAACTGTCGGTTTTTGTCTTTTGCTCGACACCTGCTCCAACTCCAGATAATAAATTCCCTGTTTACTCCCTGTGTTATTGATCATTTGACGCAATATTCAGACCGATTGCGTGAAGGGTGCAAAATAAAAAATACGCTATTCTGATCAATATCATAAGAGAACACAGTGAACACATGGCAATTTTCTAAGAGTTTGTGATTGCGTAAGCAGAGGTGAGAAGGATTATCGCCATATTCGCATACACAATACGCACGTAATGCAACATTGCTAAATAGCTCTAGACAAACACTTCTTGCAAACCAGAAGAAAAATCCAAACTTTCACAGCCGAACGGGCGGTCGGGAGTAATTTTTGAGAGTGTTCTAAGATCTGTGCGTGTTCGTATGTAAATTATTTAATGGGTAAATCTTATAACTATTTTTTTTTATTATTTTCATCACAACTTAATTCGTTTGGACGTGTATGTATAATATAATAGGAAGATCGTTGATTAAAATGTACATTGCATTATTGATCAGTGTATTGATACCATATGATTGCGATGTTAAAAATCGTAGCTATTCCGGAACTGTCAAACGAATATTGTTCAAATTGTGCGTGAATAGATTCGTAGGTGATACTTTGTGATACATACGAACGTGGTCCAAGCATCACACTATATTTTCGACATCAGAGAGAATTTTATTCTTGGGCTACAATTACAACTATCACAAGCCGTCAATTTTGTTTTAATTTGTGTAATGATTGTATACGTAACTGTGTTTTGTGGTGTCGTCGAATGTCGCGGCGACCGCCAGCAAACTGTGCCCGTCTGTAATCATATGGATCCGACACACTGGGAC